GAAAATCCTTCGGCAGTGCAGCAGGCGGACTGCTGGCAGGAGGGGGAAGGTCGCATCTGGCCTGCAGGACTGCTCTGGAGAAGGTGAGGTGTTGCAGGGTGAGGCTCACCAGCTGTGTCCTCTGATGGTTGGGTCAGGTTCAAACTCCCAAGTCATGGAGTGGGAGTGCGTGGGCAGTGATGAGTGCCACAGAAGAGCCTCCAGATGTGCGTCTCGCCCCTGCTGCTGTGCGGATCCGGCTGCCCTAGGAGAGAGCTCGCTTGAGGCCTGCAGGACGGACAGGGCTGGTGCCCTGAGTTTCTCTGTTGGGGAGGGGGCTGTTCTCTGCTGGCTCCCTAGGTCTCATCTGGGGGAGCAAGAGAATCCTTGCAGCCACAGCGAGGTCCTGGCAGGCTTGGCTGTGGCTGGATTCTCATGGGAACTGCTTTGCGGGTTGGTGCTGGTGCACCGTGTCTGTGCTGGGTGTCGTACCACGGGAGGGACTCTCCTGCCCTCCCGGAAAGACTGAAGGAGCTAGCTATCTCCAGGGGAAACGTGATTCCCAGACTGATTTTCTCTGCTTGGACAATGAGCATGTGTTTACCAGTAGTGTGAGTGAATTGTAGTTCTCAGTGTAAGCTGTTTAATATTTTCCGTCTTCACTCTTCTCAGGAGTTGCCATACCTGGGTGTCTGTTGGTTTCTCAGGAGGTTAACGCAGTACCTTTTCCTTGCCACGTCGTTTTGCCTGGGATGCTGTTCCCCCTCTCACTTGCAACCTGCCCGGACCCTCAGGATGCTCAGCTCACCCTTGCCCAAACTGTACTTGCTCTTCCTCACCTGGGGACCTTGACAAGGCGTTGCCAGAGCGGGTGTCCTGTCGTGTTGGCTATGACCTGTGGCGCTCGCATGGAGCATGGGAAGGAGGGAGGGAGGATCGTTTGGAGACTGAGTAGTGAAGTGGATCCTGTTGGACCCTGGGCATATGGCTGGTTGTCCTGTGCAGCACCCTCTGGCTCCTTCCAGGGCTCTGGGGAAATGGGATACAAGTTCGGCTCTTCTGGCCCCGACAGGACTTGCAGCACAGAGCATGCACCCCTGCCTCAGCCTCTCCAGCGCAAAGTCCGGGCTCTTGGCTTCAAACCGCCTTCGTCAGCAGTTTCTCCGGGGTGCCAGGCTGTGGGCTGGACCAGCTTGGGGGCAGGATGGCTTCTTTCTGTTGACTTGGCTGCTGGGGAAGAAGAGGTGTGCTGTGTCCAGGACGGAGCATGTGCTGGAGCTGAGGACTGCATCCTGCTGGGAGCCTGGGCTCCCTCCAAGGCTGGTGCTGGGGTGCTTGAGCCCTTGTCTACATTGCATGAGTGGCACACCAGGAGTGGGCATAACGGCTTCCCTGCTAGAGGGGTGGGTGTTTCTGCAGTATAGCGCCAGGTCTCTGCCCAGCCCTGCACATTTATTCCACTTCTTCATCCACCTTCTCTAAAAATCCATTACAAGCTGCACTGGATGTAAGAAAAGGCAGGGGATGAGGCTGGTGGGCATTTGGTTTGATTTTCCCAGGTAAAGTAGTAAATATGTCTCCTAGGCTGAGCCCAGCGCTCCCGTGGCACGTGTGCCACTGGGGGTGGGCACGCCTCTCCGGAGCTTGTCACCCTGACTGGCTGGTGCTCGCGCGTGTGCCACGGCTCTTCTGCTTCCAGGGACAGGGCATTTGCTCACCTGGACGTGCCCGTGAGTTTCCCTCCTCGAGGGCTGCAGCGTGCAGGATCGCGGGCTGGCAGGGAAGCACGAGGTGTCTGCTGGGCGCTTTGGGGAGCGAGTGTCGCGCCAGCGAGTGCCTGGGCTGTGGCAGGGGTTTGCAGTACCGCGCTGGGGCTGCTGTGCCCCCGCCGGTGCCTCATCCCCTTGGCGGTTCAGAAACAACCTCCTCTTGGCTGGGCAGCCGTGGGTAAATGAGCTGGTTCTGGCTGCAGGCAGCAGATCAAAACTCAAGACCTGCTTTTCTCTCCTGGCTGTGCCAGTATCTGCTCTGTGGCCGCAGGCAGAGCCTCTCCTTCCCTCCCTGCCCGCTGGCCCCTGGCCAGCCTCGTAGGGCCAAAGCTCCTGCTGCAGCTGGTTTGTCTGTGCTCTTGCATGGAGGGGCCCTGTTTCTGAGGGTAGCATGCAGTCACGCCGTGCTAGTGCATCGTAAAATTACTGCCACCAAATAAATACAAAAGAAGGTTTGTAAAATGCCGGGAGGTCCAAGACATCCATCAGCAGCTTTCAAGGGCTCGGCTATCAACCAGGGCAGTATCTGGTCTCCCTTGCTAGCACTGCTTGTCCTGAGCTCCTGTGCGGGGCGAACAGCACCCCTTTGCTCCCGATTTCCCAGGTTGGTGCGGTGATGAAGGGCAGCGGGGCTTGGCAGGGAGGCTTTCCAGCTGTGCACCGTCAGACGTGCTGCTGGCCTTGTAGGAAGGTTTTCTTCTGTAGCTGAGCACCTGGATTAGCCTAAATGTGTCTTGGGCTTGGATTTTTAAACATTTGGGTTTCCTGGAGTCTCTGCAAGGGAAATGCGAAGACCAGTTTCCAGGAGCTTGACTGCAGACTCGCAGATGGCTTGGAGCTGGAGCCCTGGGTTAGGCTGTCGTGTGCTGGAGGGTGCCAGGCATGCCCGGCCTCAGCTCGCCGTGGGTCATGGCTCTGGGTGGTGCGTCTGTCTCTATCTGCTAGCACCCTCTCGTCTCCTGCCTGGATCTGAGCAGTCTCCACCGTGACTTGCAGATCTCCGGCTCCAAGAGCGGCCCTCGCTGGTGCTGGCCTGGCTGCGCTCCCTGGAGCAGCCTCCCTGCCAGGCTGCAGCTTTGCTTTGTGTTTGGTCTTCCGCATCGCTCTGCAAATGCTAATTAGTCTTCCCAGCACCTCAGCGAGATAAGGGATCCCTGTTCCTATCTTGCAGATAAGGAAAGCAGCAGAACTTGTTTCAAACAATCTCCTCCCTCTCTCCCACAAAGAGATGGAGGCTGTGGCACCCACCCCCGCAGCCTGTGACCCTGTGTCCTCTTACTAGAGCTTGTGAGGGGGCCTCTATTTGAATGTTCCCCAAAAAAGCACAGGACCGTGGGGCTCCTGAGCTGGAGAAAAGGGCCGGATGCCATTGCCGCGACCGAGCGAGGTGGGAGCAGGCACCCAGGTGGGAGGCTCTCAGGGAGAGGCAGCCCTGCTCCCCAGCCAGAGCTTGGTGCCTAATCAGGCTGCAGAGCAAGCTCGGTTGTTGGGTTGTTTTTTCTTCCGCAGTGCCAGGCATGTCAGTGCTGTCGGAGCAGGCAGGGATGCTCCGTACCTGTGGAAAACTGGGCTGGCTGTGGGTTTGCGCTGTAGCACTTGGTGCCTTTTGAAGCTATATTTAGTTGGTGACATCTGTGGGCGTTGAGTGGGGGATTTTAGGGGCCGTTTTGAAAGCACTCGCTCTTCCTACACTAGCAGGAAAAGTTTCAAAGCCTTGTGGCAAGCTTTGTGCCAAGGAGCTGGGATTCGCAATGAGGTGCACGTGGAATAAATGAGGGACACATGGGAATGCTGCTGCTCGTGGCGGGAGGCAGTGCAGGTAGGCTGGGGGGGAAGGGGAGGATTTGGGGACCCAGCTGAGAGCTCGGTGAGGGTGAAATGCCCACACAGGAGCCTTAGGGAAGGGGAGCACGTGTGGCTGTCCTGCCATGTCTGACTCTGCCTTATTGACACTTCAAAGCCTCCAGCTCTGAGCAAGGCTGGGCTGGCAGGATGAATCACAGGTTTCGAGGCTAGGAAGGGGACCGGTTTTGATCATCTAGGCAAAGTTGTCCTGCCTTCTGCAGGAGATCAAAGCCAGCTTTGAATGGAGCTGGGTAGGCTCTTCAGGGTGTTTCCCTAAGCGTCCCCAGGTAGCCTTTGCATTTCTTCGGGCTCTTCACCTCCCTTCCACCCTCACCCCCACCGCAGTTTGGGGTGCCTTTCTTTTAAAGCTGGCAGAGTCAGCAGAATGCTTGCTCCTGCCAGGTGTGTGGCACTTTGCCTTGAGGGACAGCCCATGCCGAGGCCGTTGGGCTCTCCTCTCCCCGCAGAGCACCACTGTCGTGGAGGAGACCCTCGCACGTGGCCCTTGTGGGGCTGGTTTGTGTTACGCAGCGGCGTGCTGCTCTGTTGGACTCTGCACGTGCACTGCGTAAGCCTGCTCCTGATCTGGAGACCTTGCAGCTAAACCTGGGAGAGAGAAAACACAGTGAGTTTCTTTTTCTGCTTGGAAGGAGGTGGTGTGTGAGTGGGAGCCAAGACAGGTCGTGGTGGGGCTGAGGTCCTGACTTGCTGCATGTCTTGCATAAGGTCCACGGTGATGTGAACCCCAGCAGTTGCACTCTGACACCTTAAAACACTCTGGAGGCACTCAAGTGACTAAATACTTTTGACTATAGTAGGATTTAGGTACTTTCCAGATCTGGCTCCTTCTCTCTGTATGTTCCCTCTGGTGAACTTGCTGCCCCGCACTGGGGATCAGAGCACAAGACGAGCAGTGCCCGTGTGCTGCAGAATCGTGCGTCCCTCCGTCAGACCCCTCCTCTTCTCCCTGGGGAGGGCTGGCCAAGTTGACGTGGTGATGGGCCTTGCTTGTTCAAGGGCATGTTTGTTTTGCTGTGCATAACAGCAGATCAAGTTCTGCGTGGAGCTCCATAGGGTGAGCTGAACTCCTCGCCACCCTCCTGCCTGGCTGGCAAGGCCAAGTGGGGAGTGCTGAGCAAAGTCAGGGAGTGCCTTCCTGCGGCAGGATGGGGTTAAAGGTCTGTTTCTTGTCTGCCTGGATTGATCAGAAGTCCTGTGATGTTGATGGGGTGCTTCTGGAACCCAGATCAGATTTCTACTGAATCTGGCTCTGGTTTCTACTCACCTTTTCCTCTTAGCCCTCCTTTGCAGAAGAGGGAGCTGTCTCATTTCCCGCCTGCCTCCTTCCAGAGCTAACTCTTCCGCAGCCCTCAGCTGTGTTTTAATGGTTTTGTTCTTTTCTTGCAGAACACACAACTCCTGCAAAAGTGGTGAGAGCTGCAAACCCAAGACAGCGGAAGGGAAGCAAGGTAAGGCTGTGCCTGCTATCCCCCTCACTGGTCTCTGGCTTCTGGGTGGTTGTTGGCACTGCGTGAGGGTCTGGTGAGCAGACCGCTTCCTTCACAAGCCTGGCTATGGAGGGGTTGGCGTGCTGGCCTGACCGCCTCCAAGAGCAAGGAAAGCAACATCCTGATTCTCCGTTTTATCTTCGGCGTTTTAGTGGTCTTGCGTGCTGCCTGGACCTAGTGTTCTACTTAGCTAGGCTAGGGGAGACCACCTTGCCTCCCCTCTTGCAGGAAGGCACTTGGAGCACAGTGCTGGATGTGGAAGGCCTCTTCCCCCAATGCCAAGGACAGCCCAAGTCCCTTGTGAGCTCAGCCAGTGCCCTGCTTTGCAGTGCAGACAGGGTGGAGGTGTGCTAGAGCACCGTGTCCGCAGGTCCGTTCTTCCCTGTGCAATCTGTTCTTCACTAGGGCACGGAGAGCCAGCTTAATTGATTCCAAACAAAGAGACTCCTTTGGAGGAACCAGGGCAATCTGTTCCAGGGAACCAACGTGCAATGCAGGACAGTTGCTTCTGAGGATGTTGCATGCAGCTGGGACACAGCTAGTGCCATGGGCTCTTGGTCTTGGCTCCCAGCAGCCAGCCAAGACACATCTGAAACTTGATAAGACTTTCCTTATCTCTTCCATCTCAGGGAGAGGAGGCCCCGGGATGAAAGTTGGTCTTATCTTGAAACAGGCATGGCCCTGCACTGGAGTTGGTTTTCCCAGGAAACCTGCCTCCTGAGGAGAGGAGCGTGACACCTGAATGTAGAGACGGGATCGACTTGGGGACTTCAAATTAATTTAGGAATAATAACCCAAAAATGGCGAGGAGGAATCTCTGCGCCCAGATAAGATTCATCCTGTGCCTAGGCAGCTGTGTGGGTCCTTTCCTCTGTCCTGCATGTTCTCTCTGAAACCTGTAAGAGAGAGGAATGATGGTAGTGTCCAAGTTATTGCTTAGCTGGGAAGTGACTGGCGGTCCCTAAAGTGGCCATGGGGTGTCTGGAATGATGGAGCCCCCATCGCTGTCAGACACCTGCTTGAATTTTCCTACCAGCTCTGTATGATCCCTTGCTTTGTTGTTGACAGCACTTGGTTGCAGTTGGGCTTAAGTGAAGCTGTGCCTGGCTGTAACTCCTCACTGGCTGGAGGCAGCTTCTTTAATGGGATGTAGTTGCTTCAGACGGATTCAGAATGCTGAAAGCAGTGTGCTTTCCCTGTCTGAGGGCTGGAGCCCACGATGAGTGAGATACCCTGGGCACCTGGGTGCAGATGGTGCTGCTGGGGCAAAATGTGTGTTGAGAGCCGGGAGGCTGGGAGTTTGCAGGGCAGGTGGAAGAGTCATTGCAATCCCTGATAGACATAAACTCATCTGCAGTTATTTGGGATTAATTCAAAGGCCCAGTTTGGGTGGGGAGAGGGGCTGTATATGTGCAATTTGGGTGTCACCCCCAAACCTCCCAGGGACAGCAGGACACTGGTGGGTGGTGGCTGTGACAGTGTGACTGGAAGGGCTTCTGGCTGCTGATGCAGGGTATGGCACCTGCAGCTCGTGCACTAACGAGACCTTTCTCTTTGGATACAAGGTTGGTGACTTTGGTGATGCCACAAACTGGCCAACGCCTGGAGAAATAGCCCACAAGAGCATCCAGGTGAGAACACAAAATCACTCCGGTGAGCAGGCCCTTGCACACCTCCCTGTCTCTCTGGAAGCACTGGCTGAACCAGGCCATTTGGGGTGCTGAGTGCCTGTGCGGAGGCAGCCAGGAATAGTGTGCAGGGGATTTCCTTTTAGGGCAGCCCCATGCATTGGGCTCCCTTCCTCAGTGCTATTCTGGGAGCCCAGAGCCCAGTCTAAACCCCTAGGCTGGGTGAAGCAGGTAAGGAGCTTCCAGACCCGCTCTCCTCAGGGCTGCTCAGTGCAAGAAAGGGCCTGGGCAAAAGCCAAGACTTCCACGGGAGAAACTTAAAACACGTGAGAAACGGCTGGTGTGCCCGAGGGGCATGACTTTCCTCTCCTGCTATGGATGGGGGTGGTGTTGAAACCTTTCTATTTTTGGATGCTGCTTTCCTGGCTGGCTGTCAGGACGGGAGGGTCACCCACCCTTTTGCTATGGGGGCAGTCGGGGGCACCAGGCCTCCCAGCAGTCCATATCGGTAATTTCTGTGCCTGGGGCTTATGTCTCAGCTCCAGGACTTCTGAGCATCTGTAGAGCCCCTTGTCCAGCTCGGACATAAGCCCTTCCTCCCAGGAACAGAACAGCTCTGGGTGGTGCGGAGCAGGGATGCTTCTAGCCTAGGCCAGGGTCTTCCTGCTGGGACAGCTGGAGTCTACCTCCAGCTCTTCATTTCTCCCCCCTCTCACATCTTGCCTGCACTGGTGTGTCTCCAGCAGCCGCACAAAACACCATCCCTCCGGAAACTGCCTGTCAAGAAAGACATGAAAGAGCAGGAGAAAGGGGATGGGAGCGATGGCAAAGAGAGCTTGAAAACCAAGTCAGATGAGTCTGGGGAGGAGAAGAATGGCGATGACGACAACCAGAAGTCAGCCCAGAAGAAGAAAGGTAATGCAGGACCTGGTGGGGACAGTTTCCTGGGCTCAGCCTGTCCCTGCCTCTGTGACCCACAGCCAGGTGGAAGCTTCCACCGTTTTCCCTGGGATCTTGCTGCAGGACATGATCCCAGCATGGGGACAGCTGTGGTGAAAAAGTGTTTGCAGGCTTCAGGGGGGCAAAGTGTCATTTTGTTGGAAGCAGGTGGAGCAGGGCCTAAGTAGGGGCATCTGTGTGCCCGGGGAGCATGGCAGTGGCCTGCCCCCTCACGTGCACTCCGTGGTGGCACCAAAGGGCCCCTGACTGTGGGTTGCATCGGCCGTTGGCACATGGGCTCAGTCTGGCCTGAGCCTTGGCAGAGGAAGGACAAGTGCTGTGGAGCAACAGGGGAGCTTCATGTCATGTCCCTCCGTGACTGAGAGTCCTGGTCAGAGACTTCCTGCATCCAGGGAGGCCTAGGGGGAGGTCTGAGGACAGGGTTGGCCCCGAGCCCCCCCTGCTTTCTCTCCTCCATGTGCAGGGGCTGTGTGACAAGAAAGGGCTGTGGGGAGGAAGCAGATGCTCTCTGAACCTGTATCACACCCAAACCCTGTCCTTTTGCAGGCAACAAACACAAGTGGGTCCCTTTGCAGATAGACATGAAGTCAGAGGTGCCTAGGGACAAAACGGCCTCTCGGAACAACCGGCAAAACGAGCAGCACAGGCACCCCTCCAACAACCGCAGCGAGCTGAAAGGTGGGGGCTCAGGCTGGGGGCCTGCTCTCCCCGGCCCTGGCTGCGGGGCAGAGCCAACCCCGCTGCCTAGGCACGGCATGGGGCGGTGGGCACGCTTCCTGCCTTCACAGGGCTGTGCGTGCAGCGGGCTGGCTTCCAGGAGGTCCTTGCATCCTAACGCTCCTCCTGACACTTTGCCCGTCTGCTGCAGGCTGGCACACGGACAACAAGCATGAGCGCAGCTGGCAGGACCACGACGAAACCTCCAGCGTGAAGAGCGAGGGAGGAGCTGTGCGAGGAGCCTTCCGGGGCCGAGGCAGGGGCCGCGGCAGGGGCCGTGGCTCACTGAATGTGTGGTCTTGTGTGGAATGTGTGGTCTTGCTCTTTCTGTGTGAGAGAAGAGGACAGGTGCTGAAGTGTGCAGGGTTCTGTGTGTGTGTGCAAGGCCTGGGGTTCCAAAGCAGGCTGGGGAGGACGGAGCGCTGTAGGGATACAGGGAAGTATTGTGCAATTAGTCAGAGCTGCTGAATTGAGCTGCTTTTAATAAATGCACTTCATTCATATTAGTATTTTAATAAAGACAGATGTCTTTGCGACTGAGGCCAAGCTCCTCCACCTGTTTTCTGCCCGTTGCAATACCCCTGCGTGCAGGAGTTGAAGCATGCTTTGACACTGTGTAGGCTTTGTCATGGTGAGAGCCAAGCAGGAGTCTTGGCTTGGATGGGGAAGAGTGTGTGCACTGGTATTCAGCAGGGCAGTGTCTGTACGAACCCTGCCACGGCTTCAGTGTCGCGTCTTCATCTGTCACCTGGGCTGCCCAGTTGCTCCTGGCCTTTGGCTTGGTGTGTTGAGGCTTCACTGGCGTCCGTTCTGCAGCAAAAGCTGAGAGCAGGAGGATGGAGGGATGTGGGTCAGTGATGCCCCACTGTGGGCTGCCATGGGGCCCCAGGAACTGCGCAGAGGGAGCTGTTTGCAGGAGTCTGACCCCATCTGGCAGCACAGCGTGTCTAGTAGGTGCCGGGGGCTCTGTGCTGACCCTTACTGATGTCCCCCAGGGCACTTCGACTACCAGTATGGGTACCGGAAATTTGAAGGCTCGGATGGCTCCCGCACCCAGAAGTACGCTAGCAACATCACTTACTACTTTGACAACATCAGCAGCGCCGAGCTCTACAGCGTGGACCAGGAACTGCTCAAAGACTACATCAAACGGCAGATGTAAGCACCACCTCTTCTTGTCTGAGAGTTGTTTGGTGGTGGGATGTTCACAGATGATCCTGGAGAGTGCGTAGCTAATCCCATGGGTAGGGTTAGAGCTGAGATGTGTTGACTCTGTGCCATGCAGCTTACAGCACCACCTTGTCCCAAGTCCTGCCTCTCACTGGCATGTTGTCCATACAGAGAATATTACTTCAGCGTGGACAACCTGGAGCGAGACTTCTTCCTGCGTCGCAAGATGGACTCGGACGGCTTTCTTCCCATCACCCTGATCGCCAGCTTTCACCGGGTGCAGGCGCTGACCACCGACATCAGCCTCATCATCAAGGTGAGACCAAGGAAAGATGGACCTTCCTTCTTGTTCTCCTCTTGCCACCCTTGTCTGAGGCCTGGGCTATGGGTGGGATGCGTGTGGAGCCTTCCCTTGGCTTTGACTTGCTCCCTCCTCCTCTTGGTCCTCCTGGGGAGGAAGGGCTTGTGTTGAGCCACTCGGTGTGCCAGGGCAGGGCCCTGAGTTAACTGGGTGTCACTTGGTTCCAGGCTCTGAAGGACAGCAAGGTGGTGGAAATTGTGGATGAGAAGATCAGGAGAAAAGAGCAGCCAGAAAAATGGGCTCTGCCTGGCCCTCCTATGGCAGACTACACACAGACAGACTTCTCTCAGTTCATCAACTGCCCTGAGTTTGTGCCCCGGCAGAGCTTCCAGAAAGAGACGGGTGAGCACTGGGAAAGGCAGAGGGAGGTGTGGGATGCACTGTTGGTACTGCAGCAGGACCCTCAGTCCTGGGAATCGAGTGTTCCCCAGGGCATGGCTCTGCTCTTTGCATTCTGCTGGGAGCAGGCGTAGGCTCTGTCCTCAGACCACCGGAGTGCTGCCACCTCTCTACGTGGGGAGATAGGAACGAAACTGTGTCTGTGGCTTTTCCTCTGCGGAGGCTGAAGGGATTCCGTGGAGGGTCAGTCCTGCTAGGAGTCTTTTGGCTGTGCCTGGAATTCTGCTACTGCAGAGGACACTCGTAAACCCCATTTTTTCTTAATAGGTGAGGAGATGCTGGGCACAAATAGGGCAGCAGGTATGGAGCTGTCAGCCAGGTGCTGGGGAAGGGTCTGCTGTCCCTCGTGGCCCGCCCTTTGCTCTTGTCACCCGGTCTCATGGGGGCTGGCAGGCACCCAGCGCTGGGCCTGAGAGGCCAAATGGAGGATCATCTTGGTGCTATTGTGTTAGTTTTGGCAGGAGAAGATCCATTCCCACTGGCTGTAGGCTGACGTGGTAAGGTTTCCTTGAGAGCAGCAGTCACCACCTGCTTCAGGGCTCTGTGTGTCTGGGATAGTGTCACCTGCAGAGCTCTGTGGCCACCACTGGCATCACAGCCTTAACTGGACGCTTCCTGCCCCCCCAGCACCTGTGGGCAGTATGCTGATGAACCGTGGCCACTGGATGCTAGTTAGTCCCGCAAGCTGTGCCATCCTGCCAAAATAACTCCCTCCTTGGTTAGGTGCTTTACGTACACAACCCCACAGGCTCGATCCCTGTCTCTAAAGCACCTTTGGCTCTCGTTGGCTCTAGAGTCTGCTCCTGGCTCCCCACGTCCTGCCAGCCCGGTCCCCACCAAAACAGAGGAGGTCAGTAACCTGAAGACGATGCCCAAGGGCCTGTCGGCAAGTCTGCCAGACCTGGATTCGGAGACGTGGATTGAAGTGAAGAAGAGACCTCGGCCCTCCCCAGCCAGGCCAAAGGTAGGTGGTGCTGTAGGAGTTGTCTGGGTGACTTGAATTGTAAGTAGGCAGGTTTGGGATCAGCTAGGGTGTGTTGGTCATGGGGGTGATGTGTGTCTCTCCTGGCCCCATCTGACCCTCTTTGGAGCTGCCCCTCAGAGGTGTAAATAAGGTGTTCTCCCCATGTGGGCAGCTTCTGGCTGCGGTAAGGAAGCAGTGGCAATAGTCAGGTCTCCAAGCAGTCAGCCTGTGTCGCTACGTGGTCTTTACCCTGTGTCACCCTTGCCCCCTGCTTGTAGAAACCAGAGGATTCAAAGACACCGCAGCAGCAAAAGCAGAAGGACCAAGATGAGCCCGAGGAGCTGGACTTCCTCTTCGATGAGGAGATGGAGCAGATGGATGGCCGCAAGAACACCTTCACCGACTGGTCAGACGAGGATTCGGATTACGAGATCGACGATCGGGACGTGAACAAGATTCTCATCGTGACGCAGACGCCTCCTTACCTGCGCCGGCATCCTGGTGGGGACCGGACTGGCAACCACACATCCAGGGCTAAAATGAGCTCAGAGTTAGCCAAGGTGATCAACGATGGGCTGTACTACTACGAGCAGGACCTGTGGACAGAGCAGTTTGAGCCAGAGTATTCGCAGATTAAGGTGAGAGCGGCTGATCCAAGGAAGGGAGTCTATGAGGGGCACAGGGAGCCTCGTGCGCAGCCTGATGCGGGGTCGCAAGGGCAGTACAGCTGGTTACAGCCCACTTGTGGGGTAGAGCTAAGCCGGGATTAGTCCTCTTGTAGAGCTTGGGATTCCTGGCTCCCAGCGTCATCCTGTGCTGTATCGGGGATAAACAAGGCTCTAACGTGGCGTAAGGCTGAAGCCAGGGAAACAAAGTACCGATAATGAAGTGACCTGGAACGTGGGGCCTGTTGCTCCAGGGTCTTGGCTGGCAGTGCCGGATCTATGGGAGAACGGGGTGTCTCTGCACTTGGAGACCTGTCTCCAAGAGACAGACAGACAGGTCTGACAGAGAGACTCTGTCCCTTGGAGACCGCATTAGTGGGGATGGGCTCACTGATGGCTGGGCTGTGTTTGGCCTGAGCTCTGCTCTGTTTTGGTGCCAGTTTGCATAGACTGAGGCTTTTTATAGAAAGCCCATCTGCTGCTTGGAAACATTTGGGTCCCAGCTTGGTGACTGTCATGGTCGGGGACTTGCCTAGACTTGTTCAGCGACGGAAGTGATTTTGGCTGGGAGGTGGGACAGCCTGTCAGCCGCCGGCTGGGCTCTGTGGCTCCCGTGTCTGGTAGCACATGGCCGAAACACCGCTGCTTTCTGGGGTGGCAGAAGCTGAGGGTGTGTGGAAAGCAGGTGACAGAGAGACAATGTATGCTGGGGCTTTGGGCCCTTCAAGTACCTGGGAGTGTTGTGCTCCACTTCCGTGGCTGTGAGAATGTGGGAAGGAGGCTCTAGGGATGCAGAAAGGTGCGGAGAAGTGGGGTCTGGCCAGGCATGGCTTACTGAGCTTGCCCCAAACCTTGCTGCACTGGTGCTGACCTGGGTGCGTAAAAGCCTGAAAGAAGTACGTGCTGGTTAGCGAGGTGCCCGGTAGGATCCCTGAAAGCTTGGGAGCAGCACGTGGCTCAGATCGGGCTGTGCAGTGCCCGGTTTGCTGTCTGCTGCATCTCCCCGCCCTGCCCCTGCCCAGCGCGTTGCCCCTCTGGGCACCAAGGCCCTGTGGCTGTGCCTGGTGCCCAGCGCTGGGGCTGTTGCACAGCAGAGCGGTGGTCGGGATGGGATGGAGGGAGGAGAGGGGCACGGGGTTGCTTCATCATCTTCCTTTTCCCGTGCAGCAAGAGGTGGAGAACTTCAAGAAGGTGAATATGATCAGCAGGGAGCAGTTTGACACCCTGACCCCAGAGCCCCCCGTGGATCCAAACCAGGAAGTCCCTCCTGGTCCCCCCAGATTCCAGCAAGGTAAGAGACAGGGACACAGATGCGTGGGCCTGAATTTGTCCCTGTTCCTTCTGATGAGAGGTCCTGGGTGGCAGCTGGGGAGAAGGAACTTCGGCCATAGGTCTGGGGCGTTATTTTTCCCAGAGCAATGCCTTTCTCCTAGCTGAATATTTTGAGGTTCAGAAGAGGGGGGCCAAAAGCAGGGGTGTCCCAGTGGAGTGAGGAAACTTTGGCACACTTGGATGTAGTTCCTTGGATGTGACTTTCTTCTTGAAGCCCCCTCTGAGTACCCACAAGGCAGCTGCCTTCTGGGCCTTACTTGCCTGTGCATGTTGCCTGATACCCCTGGGGGAGGGGGATGTGTCGCTGCCGTTAGCCACTGGGAAGCAGGTGCCTTGTGGGATCCCTGGAAGCTTGGTTCTTGGACCTGCTATGAGGCTTTGGGCTGTCTGGCCAGGCTGGTGACATACTGTATTTGAAGCTGCTTGTCTCGGAGAGCTATGGCATGTCCTTGTGTTCCTGCCCCACTGCTTCCCATCTGCCAGATGGGTGTCCTTTGGCTGCAGGGATGCTCTTGAGCTCAGAGCTTAGCTCGACGTGGGGTGGGGGTTTCTCTCCACAGTACCTACAGACGCTTTGGCTAACAAGTTGTTTGGAGTCCCCGAGCCTTCAACCATCGCCCGGTCTTTGCCTACGACTGTACCAGAATCACCCAACTACCGCAACGCCAGGACCCCCCGGACCCCTCGCACACCTCAGCTGAAGGACCCCACGCAGACGCCCCGGTTCTACCCGGTGGTGAAAGAGGGCAGGACGATAGATGCCAAGGTGGGCCCGGGGCTGGGTGTGGGACGGGAGCTGGGGTTCCTTACCTGCGGTGAGGGGGAAGGGGACACATCTCTGATGCACCATGTCTTGCAGACTCCGCGGAAGAGGAAGACGAGGCACAGTTCAAACCCCCCGATGGAGTGCCACGTGGGCTGGGTGATGGACTCTCGGGAACACAGGCCCCGAACTGCTTCCATCAGGTACCAGAGACAGACGGGAGCATGGTGTCATGGAGGAGACAGAAATGGGAAAGGGAGAAGTGTGGGAAGGAAGGGGAAGCGCAGTGTCTGGTCTTGCAGAGGAGATCTCCTGTTTGGTGGCTGCAGAAGGGGCTGGGACCCATCTTGTCCCTCCTGGCAGGAGCTGAGGGAATTCTGAAGCCTTGGAATAACGAGATGAGACTGTTGGGAACGTGGTTCCCTTCCTAGTGGGATGCCCCATGGCTCAGGTCCCAGACCCAGAGTAGACAGTCACAGGGAGTCACTGGGACCAACGGATGAGTGCTGCAGGGTGGAGTGTGACTGCTGTCAGCTGGGTGATGCCAAGGAAGAGGGTTGACGGGAGTCTCTTGTGCTCAGCTCCAGCCCCTCGGAGGGGACCCCGGCCGTTGGAAGCTACGGCTGCACCCCGCAGTCCCTGCCCAAGTTCCAGCATCCTTCACATGAGCTGCTCAAGGAGAACGGCTTCACGCAACACGTCTACCACAAGTACCGTCGGCGCTGCCTTAATGGTAGGTACGCCTGCGCTGCCGAGCGTGGGGCAGGGGGTCTGCTCTGCTGTGCCAGGGGAGCATGTGCAGCGGAGATAGCATGGTCCTACGGGACAACCATGCAGGCAGCTCATGTTCCCGCAGTCTGTAGTGAGCAGGAGCTGGGGCTCAGGGTCTCCAGCACTGGGGCTAGGTGCGGTTGCAGTGCCACAAGACCCTCCTGTACATGAGCCCCTGTGCAGAGCTAGCTTCCTGGGAGAGGATCTGCGGTGTAACCATCCCCTCTTCCCTAAACAGAGCGGAAACGACTGGGCATTGGTCAGTCCCA